TTTATGTCTCTTATCTCTATCTCAAAATCTACTCCCTATGACCATTGCACTGTCTTCGTTCTAATTTGAATTAATTTCAGATTGCTCTCACTTATGACTCCTTCCACTGGCTACACAATGGGGAAAAGCACTTTCACAAAATCTCTATCCACATCAGAGAGAAAATGGAGCTCAGCAATGCACCAAATGACAAGTTTCCTGCTTTGCCACCAAAAGACCCATTTATTTTTTTACATGCTGGTTTTTAAAAGCTAGTGCTGATAAACTATAAAATAAAAAAGCATATTTTAGCAAGCAATGACTAACTGTAACTCCCCATCCTCAAAAGTTTTAAAGTACAAGTCTCCCCTATTTTTTCTCAAAAATCATGGCCAAATAATTTCAGGTATTTTCTAAAAGGTAAAATAATAAAGAGGCCATTTAGCCTATCAATCACACTATCAAGCAATCCAATTTAATTCATACCCAAGAGATGCCTCTCCAGTCTTTACTAAACCTAACCCATCAAAGCAAAGTTCAACATCTTTACTAATGACTGGTCCCACTGTGAAATAGCTCTAACATTCAATTAAAATCTGCTTTCCTGTTTCTTAAAATTATGATCACATCACCTCACTTCTGAGATTACAGAGGATGGGTCTTATCTGACCTGAGATAAGCATGGGGCATCTGACCTGAGATAAACATGGGGCATTTGTTTTCAGTGAGCTTATTTAGAATAATACAAATATTGGTCTCCTATTCCAGTTGGCAAATCTATAGGAAATGGTGATCACTTATTAAATGGAAGAAGTGTTGTTTCTGTTACACTATCATACCCAACAGTTTAGCAGCCAACCTAACTATTTGAAATGGATGATCCATGCAAAATCCAACTTAGATAAGCATTGAAATTTCAGTTATTAAATTAATTTCTAAAAAGTATCATGAAATATTTATGTGCTGTGTTTATTAATAAATGTTGTGGCTCTGATATAGAGCTATCTAAAAGTTGAACTATTAAAGTATCAGTAGTTAATAAATGAGTACTAAGGAAGCATGAAGGAATATGAAGGAAATATGCATATATGTTAAAAGAAAAAGATCACCAACATATGCCAAAATCAGATGATCAAAATCTGAAACCCCATTTTGATGATACAAAATTAGGGGAAAAATGAATTTAATTGAATTTGAGGTTTTCAAGTTTAACTCCGCAGCTTAAACATCGGTTATTATATATGGGGAAAAAATGGTAAAATCGTGACCAAATCAATTAGGCATTTGTATGGCTTTAAAATCTATTAAAATTCCTGCCCATCTTCTTAAATAATCGTAAACTGGGAAAAGGTCCTGACCATTGTTTGGCATTGAGCCAATTAATTATCCTTAGGGCAATTTTTGCCAGGAGTTAGGAGAGCTGAATTCACAATATCAGAAGAGCACTAGGTTCAGCACGGCTGCTCTGGGATAACTAAGTCGGCCCCGTCATAATAATTGAATCTCTTCTTAGCAGCTCTTGAACAAATGAGCAATACATGACAGTCGGGGCTTGCTCAATAACAGTTGCTAGAGCTACGACCACAGCTTTTTCTCCACATTCATAAAGCCTTTACTTTACTTTACTTTACTTTTATTTGATTTATATACTGCCCTACTCCCGAAGGACTCAGGGCAGTGAACAGCCAACAATAAAATACATATATACAAAATTTAAAAAGCAGAATTAAAATCAAATTAAATAGTTTGGCCCAGACAGATTAAAACCCCAATCAATTTAAAACAAGTTTAAACTTTGAGTATTAAAAATATTAAAAAATATTAAAATTATTAAAATTGTTTAAAAAGAGGGAGAAAGTTAGGCCAGGCCCGCCTGGTGAAATAAAAAGGTCTTTAGAGCGCGGCGGAAGGTGCGCAGATCCGGGATCCTCCGTATCTCCGGGGGGAGCTCATTCCAGATAGTGGGTGCCCCCATAGAGAAGGCTCTCCCCCTGGGGGCTGCCAGTCAACATTGTTTGGCTGACGGCACCTGGAGGAGCCCCTCTCTATGAGACCGTACCGGCCGGTGGGAGGCTATTGGTGGTAGTAGGCGGTCCCGCCTCATCCTGATGTTGGCTTTGCTTACTCCTCACCTGTACAATGTCTGACCCATCAAGCCTCCAACATTGTCCACTCTTCCTTTTAGCCTTCCAGAGCCTATCTACATCCTTTGAAGTCACTGCCTTACTGAGATCACAAATACAGGTGGTTCTTGACTTACGATCCCAATTCAGTCCAAAATTTCTCTTGCTAAGTGTTGCTAAGTATTGGTTAAGTGAATTTGTCCCATTTTACGACCTTTCTTGTCACAGTTGTTAAGGGAATCACTGCAGTTGTTAGATTAGTCGAATTGTTGTTAAGTGAATCTGGCTTCCCCATTGACTTTGCTTGTCAGAAGGTCACAAAAGCGGATCACGTCACCCCAGGACACTGCAACCGTCATAAATGTGAAACAATTGCCAAGTGTCTGAATTTTGATTATATGACCATGGTGGGATGTTAAAACAGTCATAAGTGTGAAAACTGGTCATAAATAAAAAATTTTCAGTGCTGTTGTGACTTTGAATGGTCACTAAATGAACTGTGGTAAATCGAGAGGTTTACCACAGTGTACCTCTCTGTACAGAGAGGTTGTCGGTCCAGATTATATTCCAGATTATTAGTGTAGATCTTAATTGCACAGACTTTACTTATACAGAATCTGAGTTGCTGAGACTTTGTAGACTGATATTACCCTGTTTCCCCCAAAATAAGACATCCCCTGATGATAAGCCCAATCGGGCTTTTGAGCGCATGGCAATAACGCTAAGCACTTATTTCAGGGTTCAAAAAAATATAAGACAGGGTCTTATTTTCGGGGAAACACAGTAACATCTTGAATATATGGATCTAGGGTTATGTAAACATGAACACTGAATCAGTTCAAACCAAATGTCTTAGACCAGGGGTGTCAAACTGGGAGCCCGCGGGCTGGATGTGTCACATGCAGGCCACACCCATCCCAGCTCCGCGAAGGGGAAAAACATCATGATACATCACATGATGGCAACATGACACCGCGAGTTTGACACCCGTGTCTTAGATAAATCCAATTAGATTCAATTGGGATTAATTTAGACCATTAAATGTATACATCCACACGTGGAAAATCTCCACATTGGTCTGATTTGATTTAAATGTGTTCAGTTCAAGAATGTCCATGGAGAGGAAGATCAAAAGAGTAAAGCTGACAGCCACAACCATGTGATCGAAGCCCTGCCCCTTTGGTATACGTATCATAAAAAGGGCTTCATTTGCAGCTGCCTTCTATACCTTTTTGAGCCCTTCCAGGGACCCATGGTTCGGGGGATCCATTGATGTCCAAACTGATTCAGAGCATCAAAAATTCATATAAACCTAATATATAACTAAGATGAATACAAATGCCATGTTGTATATATAGCACATTTGCTGGATCTATGCTTTCATCAAAATGAAAGACAAATTAGACAAAAGTCACAATGCTATCGATATATAATCTAAAATGGCTTCAAACTAAATCTTGCATTGACCCCCACTTCATTTTTTGCTCTGCTTTTAAATGCCTGGAAGCCATTCTGCATAGTAATGTAGAATGTAATGCATTTATCAAACCATTATCTTCTGTTTTTGTTTTGTTTTTTTTACTTTCAAAGGCATAAAATGACATGTTTGTGTTTACATTTCAGTAAGTTCCAGAATTAATAAACAAACTCCAGGAAAGGCTAAATACATACGTGGCTTGGGAGTTGCACAGGGAGTTTAAAACACAGATGCTACACCTCCCCAATTTCTATCTTTATTTGTTAAGGAACAAATGTGGTTATACACACAGAGAATTGTGTAAGTCTAGGGCAGTGTAAAAACCAGAAGGAACTTGGTAGCATCTTTTCAGATTAACAAGGTATAAGCAACAACTCATTTCATCAAATGTGAGAGGTAGCAAAACTCATGCAAAATGAATTTAAATTGGGATGAGAAGGGAAGGAGTGGGAAGGCTCCCTCTATCATTTAGCCACCACATGCTTCGGTTGAAGGGAGTTGTAGCTTTTATGCTTTTTAATTGAATACGATTTCAAAAGGTGCAATCAGATTTCTTCTGGACTGAGAAATGAGGCTGTCCCATTTCCCTTTTTATTTCCTTCCCATCTGCAATTCCAAACCATTAACTAATCTACCTTTTGATTCTCTGGGCTTTCTCTGGTCTGGAACTTGCAAAATGCCAGCACAAAACCTGGTGCTTTATTGCAATCCATTCCCCTACCACAGCAAGCCAATGAGGTATGGATATACGACAGGAGAGTTCATCCCAATTAAGCAACACATTTGAAGAAAATAAGGAAATATTTGAATTGCAACCTGTAGCTTCCAAGTACTGCCCTTCCTTCAACATTAACAGATTACATTTAAAAAATAAAATAAAATGCTGATTTTAGTTCACAGTTGTTACAGATTACAGGAACAGCTCTGAAGGAACCATAAAGCCTCTATCATCCATCCATCCATCCATCCATCCATCCATCCATCTATTTATCTATCTATCTATCTATCTATCTATCTATCTATCTATCTATCTATCTATCATCTAATCTACCTATTTATCTATATCTAACTTTTATCTACCTATACATCCATCCATCTATCCAAAATTTAAAACAGGGAACAAAATAACTGCTCACTAACCATGGAATTCTGGCTTCCTTGTTATCTATGAAGAGGGCAAAACATTTGCATACAACATTTTGTTGGAAGTCCAAGCTGCAAGCTATAAATTGCACTACGCAAGAATTTCCTGCCTCTAGAGATCCCAGCCCACCCTCCCACCCACCCACCCACCCACCTCCGTCACCATCATCACCCAGCAATACAAGGAATGAAATAGGAATTGCTAGTCTTTAGCTGCCATACTACCCACAAAGAAGCACCGGGAGGGGGGAGTGTCGTGGCGGTGGGGATCAGCTCACCATCAGAGAGCTCCACTTCATAGGGGGATGGTCTTCTTTTCACTCGGTTGTTGTTATACATTGAAAAGTTTTCGGGTTCACCAAAAAATCCACTACAAAGGAAAAAGCAGAAAGTGGGGGGGGGGGGGAGGGAGAGAAATTAGTTCTGCAAACCTCTGCTGAAATCCATCATTCAACTGCAATCTGAACAAACATCCAATCTCAAAAAAAAAAATAAAAAAAAATAGTCCTATTGAATTTGGTGGTGGTAAATCCACCAGTAAGGATTAGAGTCTCAACATTATTTTCTACTGCTGAGAATATACGTAATAGGCACACTTCCCACAATAGATATGTTGTCTGTTGTTGTCGTTTGTGCACCATGTGTCGCCAATGTTTATCACACTTTTAGCATGAAGCAATTTTATAACAAGAAATCTAAATAAATGCTTTTCAGTTCCAGATGCTTAACACGATTGACTTCTGCACTTGTCAAGCATTTCTAACAGAAGAATTAAAATACATTGTGAAGCACATTTTGAAGAATTGTCTGGTCCATCCGACAATTACCAGGATTACGGTATTTAGCTTCCAGAAACGTTGCTCATACCTTTCCTAACCCTTTACACTATTTATTTATTTATTTATTATTTAAACTTGTATGCCGCCCTATCTCCGAAAGGACTCAGGGCGGCTCACAACAATAAAAACAAGCAAAATCAATGTTAAAAATACCCAATAAGATTATTAAAAAAAACACTAACTCGCTTGGTCCTCTTTCTTTTTCACAATGTTCATTCCTAGTTTGTGTAATACATGAATGTTAATGTGTACTGCATTTCTGCAGTGGGGGGAAAATGATTGCCTAAATAATAATGACAACACACGAATAAACATCCATTAACACTAAACATAATTTCTAGGATGATTTTTCCCCCCTTGATTCAGGCATTTCCCCCAAATTTATGCTTTGATGCTATTACAAATATTGCATCTCTTACAAGTAACCATTTCGTGTTTAACCGTTTCTTTTGACAAGAGGGTGGAACGGGGTGGGGGGGCAACAGTTTTAAAGAGCTTGATGCAAACCTGCCACATTTTGATAAATGATCTGTACCAACCTTGCCAATATGGTGCCTCCAAGATCTATGGATTACAATGCCCATCATCGTCCAACCAAGGTGCCTAAGGGTGATTGGAAAAGTAGTCCCACATATCTAGAAGGCATCAGGTTACATGGACATGAATCGGGCACTTAATGTTGTCTTTTAACCTAGCCTTACTTTCAGCAGGAAACGTTGTTGTGACTTTAATACAGACTGACAGCAGGAAGAAGAGAAGATTGGTTTGCTTCGATTGTCCATTTTTTAAAAAATTTGATTTATATGCCGCCCTTCTCGGGAGACTCAGGGTGGCTTACAGTGCGTTAAGCAATAGCCTTCATACTTTTGTATATTTTATACAAAGTCAGTTTATTGCCTCCATAATCCGGGTCCTCATTTTACCTACCTTTGATAGGATGGAAGGCTGAGTCAACCTTGAGCCTGGTGAGATTTGAACTTGCAGTAATTGCAGGCAGCTGATGTTAATAACAGTGCTTTAGTCTGCTGCGCTACCAGGGCTCCCTTTTTTTTTTTTTTTTTTTCCCCTTTTCGGACCATCGGCTCAGGGAGGAAAATCGCATCGACTTCATGGCACAGCAGCAGCTAAACCCGCGCGTGGGCATACACGCACATTCATAAAACCCCACCAAACACATCTACCTATATAGTCCATTGGGAGTAGATTTAGCCAAAGAGAAAGAGAGAGACTTAGCGGGCTTCACAGCCCAACCTTCCCACCCGGAGAAGGAAAACCGGCGGGGGGGACAAAGAGAAAGCATGAAGGCAGAGAAGGCAGCGTCAGCGGAACCAACTGCTGGGTTGGTTCTTTGAGAAGCAAAGGATGGATGCGGGCCAAAACTCAGGCGGGCAGCGGGGAAGATCTCCTCCTCTGTGGGGACAGGAATCAAGCAGAAGCTAACGGAGAACCGTTTCTTTCCTCCTTCCCACCCGGTTCCGTTTGCCTCCCCATCTCACCCACCCCCCCAAAGCCCCCGATCCGAAGCCACGGACCTGCTGGCGGCGCTGAGCGGAGCCCCGAGGCCGTAGAGCATGGCTCTGGCCGGCGGCGGGAGCGCAGGGGCTGCCGTAGGACTGAGGTGCACCATGCGGACGTCGCTGCTGCTGCTGCCGCCGCCGCCGCCGATGCCACCACCGGCCGGGGGCGTGCCCGCTCCGGTGCCCGCGGTGGTGGCGAGGCCGAGAGCGGTGGCGGTGGCCGGTTCGGCTCGCGGAGCTCTGATGCTGCTGATGCTGCTGATGCTGCTGTTGGTCGCGTCTGGCTCTCTCTGGCTCTGCAGGGCCCCAGGCGGCGCGTCCCTGGCTTTTATAGGGCGGCCGTTGCGCACCAGCTCGATCACTGGCACCGGCGCAGCAGGGGGCCCCGGGCCGGGGGAGGGGGGCGGCCGACCCGTTTCCTTGGCAACCCCATCGAGCAAGGCCGGCTCCCCCGGGAGAGCCATTCCTCCGCGCCTCCGATCGCCGCCGTTGCTGCTGCTGCTGCTGCTGCTGCTGCCGGAACCCAGTCCCAAATCCGGCTCGCCGACGCCTTCCGCTCCAGCTCCGGTTCCGTGCGCCGCATCCCGCGGCGGGTCACTGGGGGACCTCTCCATCAGCATCCTGGAGGGCGAAGAGGAGAGCTCGTGAAGGAGGGGCGCGGCAGGATGAGGTGGGGGGGAAGGGGAGGAGGGGGGGGAGAAGCGGAAAAGGAGGAGAGAAAAATTGGGAAAGGAGAGAAGGAGAGAGAAAAAAGCCGGAGAGAGGAAGAAAGCGCAAAGAGAGAAAGAAGAGCGGGGAAAGGAAAAGGAGCGACGGGAGGGAGGGAAAAGCGGAGGAAGGAGAGCGGTGGGAAACCCAGGAATGCCAGAGACGGGAAAGAGGGGGGGCAGAGAAGAAAGGAAAGAAGGGGGCATCCGAGGGAAAGTTAAATCCCGAAGGAAAAACCCCGCGTCGCCAAAGAGCCCCAGCGGAGGAGAGCAAGGCCCTCTGGTCACGGGCAACGGCGGAGGGCCCCTGCTTGAGGTTGGATGCCCGGAAAGCTGCGCTGCGCTTGGCTAGGAGGATTTTGCGCTTCCCACGAAGCGCCGAGCTCCCAGTCCCGGGGATACCCACGTGGCCCGAAGGAGGGCGCAAGGAGACCTTCCTCCGGGGGCCTCTGAGACACACCACGCACAAACACACACAAACACCCATTCACAAGAGGGAGAAGCCTGATGGGGAGCTCTTCCTTTCCGTTCCCAATTCCTCAGGTCTTCCTTGGCCCAGCCTTGGTGGCGCCTTGGCCGGCGGACTCCCAAAGCGTGGGAGAGGGGGGGGGGCCGAGCCCGAAAAATCAAAACGCTCCGTGGGGTTAACCTTCAAGAGGGTCACCTGAACAGTTCAACCCGAAGGTTAGAACGGAATTTGTTGGAAACCGGGCGCTTTTTAATTATTCGGCTCAATCCTTCGGGGAACAAAAACGAAATTGGCTTCACTTCTATTAATAAGGGGCGAGGGAGCGTGTAAATCAGAAATCATAGGAAGGCAGAAGGAAAAACAATCACAAACAAACCAGGGTAGGGGAGTTAGAACGGTTTATACAATTTTTGACAGCGCCCTGACTGGAGTCGAATTTATTCTCTCGGCATTGCAAGGAAAACGAGGGCGAGAAATAGCCGCAAAGACTTCACCTTGGGCACTGAGAATCAATGCCTCTATGCCCCCACGGAGGTCCCCACGGAGAACCGCGCCGTTCCACCTCCCAATCTGCGCCGCGTGGAAATAAGCGGAGAAGAATTGCGCCTCCGTGCGCTACCTGGAAAGAGGCACATTTTGGCCGAAAGCGTTTCCAGAGACCGACGCTTGATTTCAGGTTACGCTCCTGCCGCACTTTCGCCCCTGAATTTCCTCAGTGAATACACACAAACACACACAAACTATTTTTAGGGCTAGTCCCCAGCACATTAAACTGAATTGTCCCGTGTAGAGCGACGAGGTAACTCCCAGGAAAGATTACCTCGTCATATGGATCGGTGGAAGAAAATAACCTAAAAATGCCCTTTTCTTAGATGCCAGGGCAGACGGATGCTCGGCTTCCTGCTAGGCAGGGAGATAAAGAAATGCTTCAAAGGAGGGGAGACAAACGGGAAACGTTGAGGCCTGGGATTCGGGAAGTTCAGCTCAAATCATGTTTTGGAGGTAAGGAGGAAAAAGGATTTCATCGCCGAAACGTTCTTTCTAGAAACGCCAAACTTCTCACCAAATATGGGAGCATAATCCTATAACCACTTTTCCCGATTTCTTCCTAATAACTACAATCCCAAACACATTTTCTGGTCAAAGAGACCAGTCCAGTAGGTCTTAACTGCTAGTAAACATTCCCTAAAAATGCATTTGGGATTAAGCTTTAATCTTCCGCCTTCCTGTTTCAATTTAAGAGAGAGCTAGAGACCAGGCAATATTATTATTGTGATTACCTTTATTCTTATCGCAGAGGGGAAACAAGGCCATTTGAAGCAAATTTATATTCCGACTGACTAGTGAAGTGATTTAAAGAAACTAACATTCGAAATTGCTTAAATGCAATCAAATTATTTTCCTTCGATTTTCTCTACTGAGCTCCGGGTTAATTTCACGCCTCAGATATAAAACCAAGCGGCGACTCGCTCTCTTTTGTTGGGGGGGAAAAATGGACGCAAAATTTCTGATGAATTGAAGGTGAAGCAAAGACCTGAGTCGGCTTTATCAGCACACAAAGATACACATACACATACATATGCATATGCATATACATACATATGCATACATATACATATACATACATATGCATATGCATATACATACATATGCATACATATACATATACATACATATGTGTGTGTGTGTGTATTTTGATTATATAGATAGATAGATAGATAGATAGAGAGAGAGAGAGAGAGAGAGAGAGAGAGAGAGAGCGAGAGCGCCTTGGTGGCGCAGCAGACTAAAATGCTGTTAAATAACACCAGCTGCCTGCAATTACTGCAAGTTCAAATCTCACCAGGCTCAAGGTTGACTCAGCCTTCCATCCTTTCGAGGTAGGTAAAATGAGGACCCGGATTGTGGGGGCAATAAGCTGACTTTGTATTTAAAAAAAAAAAACACCGCTGGGGGGGGGGGCGTGAAAACCCTACAAAGCAGGTATATACAAAAGTATGAAGGCTTAACACATTGTAAGCCGCCCTGAGTCTCTGGTGAAGGGCGGCATATAAATCGAACCAATAAATAAAAAATAAATAAATAAATAAATAAATAAATAAATAAATAATAAACTGACCCAAACTGTCAAGTTAAGCAAATGTCCTCTTTGTACAATCCTGTGAAACATTAAAGGGGGGGATTGCTTTGTCTCCTGTGTATTCACCACTATGACTGATAAACTATCATAATTAGCTTCATGGGTAAGCTACAGAACACTGTAAGCCAAAGCCAAACAAATTATGTTATGGCTTTACTGGTTATATGACCCAGGCTACTTATACATGATTGTGCTGTAACTCATCTATGAAGCTGCACTGTCTTCAGACTTAAATGGAAGGTCAGCAGCAGAAGCATGCTAGCGAGGGCCTGAGTTTAGCACCAGCCATTCTTTGTTTACCGAATAAATCAGAGATATCTGGACTTTGCAGACTGTACTGGCTTGAATATCCGTAAAATGTGACGTCCAAACCAATGACATGCCTTTTGGCTTAGGCTCGGATTCTTTGATGGAAAACACCATCAATTCTGGGGGAAAAAAATTCATTTAGGGCTTCCCTATCTTAAACTACAAATCTGGGGATGTCGGTAGATGGGAGTACAGATAACGATAATTTCAAACACCTTTGCTGCCATCCAGCAGGATCGACCGGAGTTTTGCAACGGAGATTCAGAAGCCCCAAATTCAACTACACTTCGATGTTAGGAGCCTGTTGTTTAAACCAGGGGGTCTCCAACCTTGAACTCCAACTTCAACTCCCAGAATTCCCCAGCCAGCAAAGCACCGAGTTCCAAAGCGACCTCGATCCAGTGGGTCTGGAGGCCCACCGCCGCAAAGCTCTCCTCTCTGGGAAACGTGTTTCTTCCCCGTCCCCCCCGTCCTCCACTCCTCCCACAGCTTTAACTTGCAGATCTGATGCCCGGGTTCTTGACTCCGAAGGTATCTTTCGGAAGATCTTTAGAGCCCAAAAGCGATCGCGTTGATTTCTCTAGCCTCGGAAAGGCTAGCGGGTAAATCAGAAAATCTTCCTCGGTCATCAATCTCTCATCTGGCGTCTCTGGATTGCCTCCTCTACTCCCCACTCCCCCCCCTTTTTAAAAAAAAATAGAATTTCCTACTTAGCACAGGGAAACCTCATTCACACCTGTCAGGCTGAAGAGGCAATAACGTGGGCTGCCGGCTCAGCCAAGAGCTTCTCGCTGTCCAAGGCCGCCGCCTTCTTTTCCACCTCCCTAGGGCGCCGAACGAAGGTTCGGCCGAGGCTTTCTGGGAAACGCCGAAACTCTTGCAGCCGGATAGCTCTGCAGGCGGGGGGGAAGAAATGGGGGAGACGCAGGGACTTGGAAGCAGAAACAACGAACCCTGCCAACCTACCCCTACCTACCCCCCAAAAAGAAAGAAAGAAAGAAAGAAAAGAAAGAAAGAAAGAGGGAGGGAGGGAGAGAGAGAGAGAGAGACCACAGGGAGGATGATTGCACCATCGTGGTAACTGATCGCAGACCAAAAGAAATTCCGTTCCGTTTCAGGCAGCCTAGAGAATTTTCAGCCTAGCGAGAACGCCAAAAAATTCTCCGTTTGGTGTTTAGGATAGAAACACTCACATATTCTTCCTTGGAGGCTGGGATCATGAAATTTTTAAAATCATAGTAGGAGAGGAATGGGCTTAGTTTTGGGTTTGCGATGTTGGCTTAGCGTGTAGCGACCCCCTCTCCCGTTGAAATTTAGCCAGCGAGCCACACTAATGTGAACCGTTGGCTTAGTCGAAGAAGGATGCGCGTCTCAGAGCGTTCTGCAGCCTAGACCTCTCGTCAAAGAGGATTCTTGCTCAGCTCGGAAATATTTGTGTCTTCCTTACCGGTACAAAAAAAAGAAAAAAAGACCCTATCTTGTGTACTGTACTCATTTGGAAGAGTTTTGATTTTGAGAAAGCGGACAGACGCAGTCGAAACCACCGCTGGATCGTCCGGAGGCATTGGATGAAGAGGCAGCCTGCCTGCTGTAGAAGAGGGACAGAGCAAGTCAGAGATCTTCGTTCCTGCTGGAAAAAGCGAGGCTGTGCTAGAGAATACGCCTTCTCCAAGCCTCCCCTATGCTTCGGGGTTGATTGTACTACAACTCCCAGAGTTCCCAGCGGGAGAGGTCTCTAGGCCAGCACACCAGGAGTTTTAAAAAAAAAATAATAAGGCATTTTAAATGGTTTATAATAAAACGATTCGAGCTTAATAAACATGTCACAGGATGCCAGTGACTTTCAATGCGGACATCAATACAATCGTTTTAAAAGGCAACCATGAGCTACTGGTGCCATGACCTTAGGCAGCTTTCCTGTCACCAGGAGAGAAGGCACAACAAGATGAGCCCCATAGTGTTAAACTATGCCTGAAAAAGATGAAGGCACCAGGAACCTAATGTGCGTTTCCTCCATTAAGAATGGAAGACCAGATCCAGAAAGTCAAGTAGTCCCACTGAAATGATGGAATCCAAGTTAGCTGTGACTGACAAGTCCCATTCATTACATCCGGTCTACTAGAAATAGGAACAAGCCTGGATCTCAATCCTGAGGCCTCTCTCCAATCCCAGTATAGTTTCAGGACTAGCTGTGATGTACCTTACCGATTTATGCAATTTTCAGTCTCTTCTTTCAACTCATAAAGTGATTGCAGACACCGAGTGATTGCTTTTATTACACACGCCAATGTGTGTTAATATTGTGCTATTGTGGAATGTTGTAGAATATTGTCCTATTGTGGAATTAAAACATGCCACTTTCTGTATTAATAGCCACGTTATTTACATTTTCTTCACAGGATATGTATAGTTACCACAATTAAGAATCAGACGACTTTGGTGAACTAGCACAATAGCTATAGGAAATTATATTTTGCCTTGTCCCATCTGTCTGCCATTTATCAATCTAGTATGATTTTTTTTTCCTATTTGCTATTTCCTATTTTTTTCCTATTTGCCAGATAAATGATAAATGATAAAAACTTCATTTACTAGCCTGATTTTTTTAATCGTAAATAATGTTCAGTGGAAACCAGAAGAAAAACAGCAGGAATGACCACCCAATATATTTTAAAAACTGTTTTAGATTTGAAGTTCTAATAAACAAAGAGGATCGGCTCATGGCTCAAAAATACCATTTAATTATATTAAAGCACATTATTAAACAAATTCTTTTGAAATCAAGGTCCCTGATTATTATTTACTACCTTCCTCCAACTTTTTCTGGATGTCCTAACTTATATCATTTTGCTGTATTAATGGATGCCTCCATTTCTAGTCCTTTAACATGAGACCTCTGCAAGCACATTCTCTTTTAGATCATAAAAATAATATTTTGCCCAGTGCTCCCCCCACTTTTAAAAAAATATTTAACAAGACACCCCATGCCCTTCCCCAAGTTATTCTTTTCGTTTCTCCTTTTCTTGTCTTCTTTTTCCTTTTGAAATACTCTTCAAGGAAGCCTACAAAGGAAGCCACTCTCTCTCTCTCTTCTTTTTTTTGAGGCCTGCAGTGTTTCCACAGAGAAATCAAGCGGCCTTCTTCTCACATCCGAATTTTGCCACCCTTCTTTCCCTCCCTTCCCCACTAATATCTTGGCACTTCACAATTGAAAATCATCCTTCATTTCCATTCCTGCACACCGAATTATTGAGGGGGGCGGGGAAGGAGACGGGGCGGGGAGGAGAGCGAGGGACTCAAGACAGCCGAATCGGATTTCCCGACGTCTTAATCTTCCCCCAAAGCCACCGAGTTTTAGGGGGTGACCCGCCTGGCCGCTATTCCCAGAGCCCCCCCCCCCAAAAAAACTTGTCTTTGCAAAAATTGGAGGGGGGGGCGTGGGGTTACTCTCAAGCCCGCGCGTGGGCCTCGCGGGGCACTGAAGGCGCTTCGGGGCGCTGCCCACTCCCCATTTCCCGGCCTTCCAGCAACCCCAGTTCCGCCAGTATTTTCTTTTCTGGCTCAGCATGAAGGTTTCCTACCAGCCCCCCCCCTTCCCTCCTTCTGCTGCTAGTGAGCAAAACAAGAATAGATCAACAATTCACCCCAGGATTTGGCCGTCCTTCCCGTCTCCCCCTCCCCCCCCGCCCTTCTTTACTACGGAGCATCTGGGTGTAAAAATAAGAGAAAGAAAGAGGGAAGTGGGTGATTTGAGGAGAGAGGAATTGTTCCTTCTGCTTTTCCTGTGCGGTTCGCTGTCTGCCCTTTTGAAATAAAATAAAGAACACGTCCTCTACCGCTATACGTGAAGTTGGCACGGGTTGTTTGTGTGTGTGTGTGTGCGCGCGTGTGGGTGGGTGGGTGAGTGTGGGGGAGGGGGCTAACTTACCAAGCGATTTTCTTTCTTGAACAACAAACCAAACAAAAAGAGAGAAAAAAAACCGACCCTTTTACTCACCACTTGTTTTTCGTAGGTGAAAATGACTGGAGCCATTTTGCGGCCTGTTCATGGAGGCTGGTATGGCCCCCCCTTCCTCCTATAGTATATTAAAAAAAAAAGAGGAGGAGGAGAAGTGCTGGGCGGCTTCGCAGCGCCGGGAACTCATTCCCACATCACGTCCAGTTTCCTATTTAGTATGGAGAGCGGATCGCTGGAGCAACGTGGCCAACCGAGATAAGCCGCTGGCACTGGCCCGCCTGCCCTGATAAGCCCCTAAACCCATTATTTATGAAATGATTCATTATTATTTGGCAATTTTATCGAGGGAAAGCGGAAAATTATTGCAGGGATATGCAGAGAGAGAGAGAGAAAGAGAGAGAGAGAGAGAAGAATTTTGGAACGCTCGCCTTAGAGCTTTCGAGACGTGTCTGTTTTGCGCGCTCAGGTGCACTTTAAAAAGAGACAGCAAAGAGATGGAGGGGGGGCGAGAATAATCAAATGCTCACTACGACTGCCCACTTTTGAATAAAGATCTTTTCTTTTAGCTTCCTTGGAGGTGATTATCCATCTCCACCTCCACACAGACGCACACACCACTTAAATAGGGAACACCTACCCTGTTCTTAATTAAATTTAATGAGCCAAAATAAAACCGGTGCGGTACGACTAAGGGGGAGACGAGGGGTCGCTTAAAAATAAACGGCTGAAGAAAGCAACGCGGGAGGGACAGCTTGTCAATAAAATAAATGTGCTTTTTTTTAAAAAAAGAACTATACAACTATTCAACATAAGAATCGCCTTGATCGGCTTGAAGATGGGTAAGATTTAAACTCCCAGAATTCCCCAGCCACACATCTTCAAGTGGATCCAGATTGAGAAACGCTGGAATAGCCTGCCAGGATTTGCTGCTACAATTTGAATGATATGGACCAGGGGTCACCAACCGGGACCACTAAATTCATAATTTTAAATCCCGTGGACTACTAATATGGATTTTTTAAAAAGATAAATAGTATTTAGTGCAATATAAAAAATGCAAATAATTTTTCTGCAAACCATCAAAATTTTCTCGCGAACCACCAGTTGGTGATCACTGATATGGACTTTCCATCCTTTATCATGAGACAAATGAATTCTGGCCATCCCTTTTCTGCCATGTTTTTGTGATGTCGCCTCCGTCTCATCCCTTAAAATCTCTCTTAGCTGTTCCAGGCTTGTAGTGATAGTTTTCCTTCCATGCCACGTTTGCTACGGATCTGGCCTGAAACCTTTGGCTGCCTATTTGAGTGCTGATGTGATCAGGGGTTGGGGGTCTATCCAGTTCATAGGGATCACTGCTGGCACATGCTCTCCCTTTGGGTGCCTGGGCACTAGCCTCCAGGGGAATTTTGGCTTGGGTTGGAGGAAAGACCAGGCAGCTGGTCACCACGGAGGTATCTGCCACAGAATGCCTGACTGGCACTTTTCCCTAGAACGTGTTAGGTTTTACAGGAGCTCCTTATAAAACAAGTTTGGCACTCTGGAAGAGTGCTAGTTCTTTGCTGTTCAAATTAACCCAAATGGAGAAACCAGTTTCTGACAATTGTGTGTTGCTAATTGTGTCACTAGCAGGTGAATGATGACAAGGATTTGGCATGGCTGTTTTTTTTTTTTCTTTACTACTTTTATTATTTTTAAAATATTTCTGAAAACTTGTGCATGAACACAACAAGTGTCATTCTTACCTAGCAACAACTCTGGTGCAGTTGAAACTTCTAATTTCTCCATTGTGTGTGTGTATGTGTGTGTGTATGTGAGAGAGAGAGCGAGAGAGAGAGCGAGAGAGAGAGAGAGAGAGAGAGAGAGAGAGAGAGAGAGAGAGAGAGAGAGAGAGAGAGAGAGAGAGAGAGAGAGAGAGAGAGAGATGGTGGTAGTATTTGACATTTTCCATTCCAACTAGAGGTTGCCACTAGATGCCCTGATGATCACTGCAATGACAGGCAGACCGATCACAACAGCATGATTCCAGATGTTTGGTCTAGCATCTGTATTCTCCAAACCTTATGCCTCTAAGCCGATCAGGACTGAAATTTGCTGATTATTAATGATTTTCTCTCATTTCATCCCAGATCTCTTCTGCACTTCTCAACTGAGAGCCGGGCTAATTTCCAACTCCTACATTGCCTGATTACCAGGCAATGTTGCCAGGACAAAGGAGGAGGTGCACTGAGTGGCAGCATCGAAGCATTTCCTTCTGCTTCACCCAATTCCCCCTCTTAAGTTTAATCAATCAATTCATTTGGCCATTCATGAATTATTCTTAACAACTCCAGGCAGTTTATAAAATAACGAAGGATTAAAGCAAAAGGGAAAGCTGGAGTGAATCCCCACCATTCCACCACCCCCTAAGTAAAAAAGTTTGTTTCTCCATTAGCTGATATCTTGGGCCGAATTCCTTTCACCTATCCAATGGTGAAATTCAATTTTTTTACTACCGGTTCTGTGGGCGTGGCTGGGTGTTGGTGGTAGGTGTGGCTTGGTGGGCGTGGCTTGGTGGTTGTAGTGTGGCTTGGGGGCTGACTTGGTAGGTGTGGCAGGGGAAGGATACTGCAAAATCCCCATTCCCTCCCCACTACTGGGGGAAGTATATGGCAAAATTTCCATTCCCACCCCACTCTGGGGCCAGCCAGAGGTGGTATGTACCGGTTCTCTGAACTACTCAAAATTTCCCCTACCGGTTCTCCAGAACTTGTCAGAACCTGCTGGATTTCACCCCTGCACCTAGCCCTTCTGTAAATTGGCTCCTGAAAGGGCAGCATCATTCAGTGGCCTTTCTGTGGTAGAATTTGGGCTTTCAGGGATGGAGCACAGTTTATACCAGAATACTTCCTTGATCAGCTCAGTGACAGATATCACTTTCACTTCCCTGGGAGAATGGTGAGTAAGGAAATGGAAGGGGAGATGTTTCTTTTCCAGCGAAAATCTTTCTGGTGTAATAATAGTAAACAACAGAACCAAACTGATGATGTTTCCTAGTTTGGGTAATGAAGGGTCTGCAAGAAAACAAGCAAGTTCAGAGAGCTCAGAACCGAATTGTCCTGACAAAGAGATTTTAAATATCTGTCCTCATTCATACATCATGGGAAGCCATGGTTTGGTTAATCATGGCGTATTGAATGCTCTACTGGTTCAGATATTTTCCTGAGCTACAAATCTTAGCTTAATATAAATTTCCAAGCCACCTTGGCTAGGTTCACACTAGATGTGAAGCCATAATCGCGTAATTCGTATCATGGCCTCAAGTGGTATGAGAGCAGGGCCGGATTTTCCTATAGGCTAACTAGGCTTCAGCCTAGGGCCTCAAGATCAAGAGGGGCCTACATTCAAATTGTTAGCAAAATTAAAATTATACTTTCACTATAGGTGAAAGGGCCTCATAAGTGGAATAGCCTAGGGCCTCTTTTCATCTAAATCCGGCCCTGTATGAGAGCCAACCCTACCCACCATCTGAGCCAACCTGTTGTGGGAAGAAGGGCAGGGAGTTCTCGAACAGCCTGGTTGTGTCCTTACAACAGACACCCACCTTGATGCAGAGAGAAACTTGAAGGTGTGCATAAACAAATCCATTAAGCATCTGATCTCACAACAGGTACTCACTCTGCTAGAATAAAATGAAATATCATGTAAGGTCTTATCAATAACAGCAAAACAGTACTGTTCATCGCAACAATGATGTTTCTCCCGCCTTTCCCTTAAGGTAGAACTAACTGCTCCTGGTTTACAGACCTTGTTGGTTACACTCAATTCATATCGCCAAGGAATAAGACTTGAATTCGTTGTCTCTTTGATCAGGGGTGAAATCCAGCAGGTTCTGACAGGTTCTGGAGAACCGGTAGTGGAAATTTTGAGTAGTCCAGAGAACCAGCAAATACCACCTCTGGCTGGCCCAGAGTGGGGTGGGAGTGGAGATTTTGCAATATCCTTCCCCCAGGAATGGGGAGGAATGGGGATTTTGCAGTATCCTTCCCCTGCCATGCCCACCAAGCCACGCCCGCCACGCCACGCCCACCAAGCCACGCCCACAGAACCGGTAGTAAAAAAAATTGATTTCACCACTGTCTTTGATCCCGAGTTTCCTAAAGCAGGGTCTCCAACCTTGGCAACTTTAAGACTTGTGGACTTGAACTCCCAGAATTCCTCAGCCAGCAAGATAAGATTATTTATCTGATGAATCTTTGGAAAATTCCCACCGAATGCAATTGATTGGAGAGATTCCGAGATTCCCACTTAACACCTGCGATCCTGTTATTTCAAAGCACCCCTGCAATCGATTAAAACTGATTAAATCTCTGGGGTCTCTTCCCATGCGTGGTGTTGGTGGGGATATGCTTAGACTACAGGAGACAAAGAGGTTTTTATTCCATGCATGGGGCATGAAGTTTCGGTGGGAAGGAGAAACCGAATATGTCGACCTTCCTGCAACGATACACCGATACACCGAGGGTCCAAAAGTGGCACAGCCGCGCCTGGGGAGTTCCAGTGCCAATGCACGCCCCCCCCGTCCTCATCCTCTGTGTGTGTGTGTGTGGTGTGTGTGTGTGTGTGTGTGTGTGTGTGTGTGTGTGTGTGTGTTTGCTACGCCGCAGCCGAGGAATAAACAATTTCTGGAGTGTCTCAGCCTAAAGGAGAGAGAGACCAGCCGGGGAATGCAAAGTGAAGTGGGGCAAACGGGAAGAAGCTTCGGTCAAAGAAGCGCAAAGGAAACGGAAGGGCTTGTGACCCTCCCCGGGTAAATGCCAGGGCAAATGAAAGATGAGTGGCGGGCTTTCAATACGTATCCGCCGTCCCCGTCCCCCCCCTTTGCCCAGGTGGTTGAAGTACGCGAGGATTTTCCCCAGAGAAGTTTTTCACGACGCCCGGAGGGAAACGGCTGGAAGTGTCAGTTCCCCGGGCAGTCACGACTGTATGCTGGGCCTGTGTTTGAAACCAGAGCCAGGAAACACGAGCGCCACTTCCTTTAGCCACCAGAGGCAGGAAATGGGAAAGACAGAACTCGCCTGCCCGGGCGGGCACAGTAATGGGGATCACGTTTCTCCTCTGC